TAACCAAATTTCCCACCTGGTTAACATAAAAAATGACAAAACCAGGAGATATTGTGTCAGAAGCTTACATATGCAAAATTATAAAAAAGGCAGTTGACTACTGTGTTGAAGAAAATAAATAAAAGAAGTGATTCAGCGAAGAGATTCTTTTCAACGACGGATTTATGATCAAGCTGTACAGCAGTACATAGGTATATCGGTCATTCGACTCGAGTTTTTTCCAAGCAGATGCAAAAATACTCTCCTGCATGGTTACGAAGAGGCGGAAGTGAAGCCATAAGAAGCACGATCGTTGAAAATCTGGTCGACACTAATCATCCTATCTCTATAGCGTACGCCTTGAAAATCGTCTCCAAGGCGACAAGTAACTTGCCCAATTCACCACGTATCCGCGTCATCTGTATCGCTGAAGCCATTTTTAGCTATTAAAATAGAAAAGCGAGATCTCTGTATACAGAAAAAGTTCGCTCAACTTCTTTAACTTTTATAGTCCTGATCCCTCTATGCTCAAGTGTAATAATTTCTGATAATATTTTGGTTCTACCTCATTTTCGTTTTGTTTATTCTGTTTGTATACTCTCCGCTTATTACGTCAATGGTTACTAACACTATTCTCACTTTGAATTGTCCCTGGTATTATTTCACTTGTTCCACCTGTCACTCTAAATCAATTTACAGTTCATCAATCAAATCAATCAGTTCTATCCACCCTATAAATTATTTTATATATGACATTAATTGTTTTAGTACTTCACATTTAATTATGATTATAATCACAAACTGCCATATTCAGGCGGTTATCTGGGGTTCAAGTGAGAAGCTGTAACCAGTAGGGTACAGCAGGTCGCGTGCAAGGACAGCTGCTCATCGAAGACTTTACTTAGTGGCCACAATATATCATGAACTGCAGACGTTGGAATTCATTGGCCATTGGATCGGTTGGATCCCGGTGGCTTAATGGTCTACGAGCTTGCTAGCCTTGTAACCAGAAGGTCCTGGCCAACGAAGATCAGTAAAGCAACAATCGACCTACTTTATTCTGGAATCATTTTGGAAATCTTCTACACTGAGCCTGGGGAATAATTTTCAGATTTTCAACACTAATGTCAAGTCGCAGGCTTGGTGGGTGAATCATCAAAGGCATTTCCAACAGGCTACTAAACATTTTTGCATAAATAGCTCCTTGCAACTCCTACTGATGGTGAGTTTGATGGTCATCAGGAAAGGATAAGCACTGAAGGACTCTTTGCAGGCCAGAAAATAAACCGATAATCTAATACCCAGCAATTATGCCCAAAAGAAATGGAGATGAATTAGACACCCAACTGAGGAAACCGTTGAGAGTCATCATATGACCTCCGGTTAATCTTGAATATGAAAAGACAAGTTGGACATGCATCCGATAAGGGATTTCAAGCGGGTTATATCAAGAAGAAATGCAGGCCTATGCGCAATCGTGAAACCAGCCAGCTGAAGAGGACTGTATAGAAGAGAGTGAAATAAAATTACTCTGTTGAAGATCTGTTTTCCACTAGGAACTTGAGTGAATCATGATGATACATATGACGACAAATTATAAACTCGAAGGCACTTATTGGTGAAAAACGAATATCCTATATACTTTCTTCAGATTATACAATATTTTGCATCAATAACATCCTGGAGAGAATAAAAGGTGCACTAGATGCAGAACTCCACCCACTGGAATAAGCTGGATTCAGGGAAAGCAAATAATATGCTAATTAAGTTGCAACTCTACGCATCGTCATCACATAACAAAGCGTAAAATGGTAGTCAAACCCCTCCATACTTCAACTTCATCAACTTCAAAAATGCCTTCGCAGACAGCCTTGATCAAAAAGTAATTTGGAAACTACTTCAACACTATGCCGGCAGTGCCCAAGTTCTTTATCAACACAATTCAATGGCTGGCTATATGACAATGCCTACCGTCACGTGCCAGTCAGGTGATCCACAATGGAAAATTGACTCAAGCCTGGCACTGAAGAGAATACAGGAGTAAGACAAGGTTGGATGCCTGCCCATTATCACCGATGATATACCTCACTGTGGTGGACTGGATTTTGACGAAGACTGTGCACAGGTAGTGAGAAGTCAGGGATACGCTGCACTGACGTATAAGAAAACTCTAGAAGATTTGAATTCCACATATGATTTACGCTTAAATTCAGACAAACTCGAAGACTTGCAGGCAGGCAGGTAGGCAGGCGAAAACCAACTAACTGGCTGAAGAAGCAGTACAGTGACGATACGACTTCAGGTATACATAGAGAAGACGGAGGTGATGAAGATAACCAACAATCACCAACAGCAACAACAACAATAAACAGCACTACTCATTATCAACAGAAGTGATATGACAGAGGTTAATTCCTACCTTCACTTGTCTGTTTAGGAAGGTAGCACCGCTCCAAGCACAGGAAGCACGTAGGCAGTCGCACAGCAAGGATGAAGGTGTCGAAGCCAGTTAGCCAGCCAGTATGAAGAACAAGATTCGGATTCTGTTCAACACAAATGTCAATGAAGTCAGTCACTTCTTCTATACGAGTGAGAAACCTGCACTGCGAGTGAGTCAGTCACGAAAAGCATTTGCAATAGGCTAGTACAGACATTTATCGAAGCTGATCACTTCTCTGGCTCCATACCAAAGATCAAATTGCCAGCCGGAGAGATAGCATTAGCAAGAAGAAACTCCGGCTGGGGACAAACCAACGAAGAGCCGATTGCTCAACCAATAAATATGTAGGAGAAAATGGAGATGGATGGGGCATTCACGCCACTGAAGAGACCGTTGACTGACATAGTGCGCAGGCCACTGCTCGAGTGAAATCCCATAGGGAAACGATTAGAGGGTGGACAATGCGAGAGTGACATGGAGGAGATGGTGTTTTGGGGAGGAGGAGAAGAAAGATTATGGGTGAAAGTGATCCCAACCAGATGAATAGGTTAGCAGAGAATAGAAGATAGTAGAGATGTGTTGTTGAAGCCCTATGTTCGACTCAGAAACCAAGGGAGGAGTAACAATAATGCATAAATAATAACCCGATGAAGCTGTCCACTATTCCCTGTTTTTTTCTTAATTTTGATCACTGAGGAGGGAAATTTAGCCAGACATCTTCACAGATTATCACCTGTATTCTCATCCTTACTAAAACCACTTGTCTCATGGATTGTGAGTGTCATATACGGATTTAACACTTCATTGTGTTCTTTGTTGGCTTTTTTAGTTGGTTCTATGACTACCTGCACACTTGCGTGGCCACTGCCGATGATTCCCAAACTAGGATGAAACAGCTGTCCATTATTCCTTGCTGGTTTTCAATGGTTCTCTAACTGATATCAATCCGTGATCAGCTCGTGAAAACAAAATAATCCTTACAAACCAACTATAGAAAACATTTAGACGTTAAGCCATCTCCTCCACTATTTGGAAATACAGGCTAACTGAAGTGCCTAAGTGTCTATATAACTTAAATCACCAGAATAGTTGAAACTATATGTACATGGACAAGCGCTAAAGTTAGGTAAGATATCTTTCAGTTGCTGGGTGAACACTGGACGACTACTGAAAGATAGGAACAGATATGTAGAGTAGAAAGGTTTCTTCACTACCCTAATTAAACACTGTGGTAGAATCTCCTCAAGAAGTATCTCCCCTGAATTGTAGACATAAAAATAAAGTTTTTTTCTATATTTTGGTTTGTAAAGATTAGTTATGTTTTACGAGTTGATCACGGATTGATATCAGTTAGAGAACCATTGAAAACCATAACTGGAGTACTGGACAGCTGCTGTTTCATCCTAGTTTGAGAATCATCGGCAGTACGCACCCACTGGGATTCGAACCCAGGACCTTCCGTTTACAAGGCAAGCTCGTATACCATTCAGCCACCGGGACCCGATTCAGTGGCTCATGAATTCTAACTTCTACCAATTCGTGATTTAGCGCGACCCCAACCATTGTCGTTGGTGGGACATGTTTCCACACACGTGACATCTAATTGGACCTCACTGGTCACGACTTCTCACTAAAACTCCAGGAAGCTCCATCCTGAAGCAAGTCACTAGCGAGCATCAGATTAATAAAATAAAGCCTTTTCCTCCACCTTGGTCAGTTCATGTTTACGACTGTTGTGTGGTATGTTGGCTTTAATAAACTTCTCTGGATATCCGTTCTCTCTAAGAATATCCTAAATGACCTGGAGTTCTTTCTCTATGAAATCTTGCCTATTATTTTGCACATCTATGATGCATTTATTTTAAATTAAAGTCTACAGGAGTTGAGAATGCAACTTCACGACCTTTGGATTCGAACCTTAGTGAGTGAGTACTGCTGAAGAGCCAGTCCCAAACTAGGCTAACAAAACAGTTGTCCAGTACTACTTGTTGGTTTCCCAATAGTCCTCTATCCGATATCAGCTCATGATGAAATCTTAAAACCAATCAAATCCCTGGATACCAACATTTCACTTGAATATCAGGCTGACGCTCACTAGGTAAGTAATCACCTGGGTGGGTTCTATTGGGAAGTCATGACCGGTGGGGTATAGCAGCAGGTGGCCGAGTGTGAGGACAAATACTCGTCAGCTATGACGTTCTTCATCGGTCGTGCCATTTAGTGAATTGATAGAAGTTGGAATTCATCGGCAGGCCACTGGATTTAGTCTCAGGGGCTTAATGGTCTACCAGCCGGCTCATCTTGTAACCAGAAGGTTCTGGATTCGAATCTTGGCAGCAGGGTGTGTGAGTACTTCTGGAGAGTCCCGAACTAGACTGACAAAACAGATGTTCAGTACTCCAGTTCATGATGAAATTCTCAAACCAATGAAATTCCTGCAAACCAACTCTTGAATAATCATTGGTCAATGATTGATGTACATAACGCCTGTGATTGGTTGAAATTTGAGATTTCCTTTTGAGACTTAACCAATCAGAATTAATCTGCTATTCTAATTCAAAACTGTATTTAATTAACTAAGAATTTTCTCATATCATGTTTATTATGTTTAGTAAGAAACATACTCAGAAAAAAGAAATTCACTTGTGCAGATCAAATAATTATGCATGAGAACAGTCTATCTAAACGCGCAGGAAGTATATGCTCAAATTCTGAGAATTTAAACAATAACAGCAACAACAACAATAATGCTCCTCGCAGACTGCCACGTCGTACTTCAGTGACACCGATTGCGCAAAAATCTTCAAGAGCTGCTTCACTAAGTGGAAAAGCCTTGTATACCGGTAGTGGTGTTGGGAGTAACAGCAGCAACAATGCCACTCATCCTACTAGTCAATCTTCCAATGAATCCTCGCATATCTTTTCACCATCTGATAAACTACGTCGTATGTCTATGCTATTCAGTATTGATCGTGTTAAAACACGTGAAGTGATTATGGCCGCATTGGAAGATCCAACAAGAACAGAATTTAAACGACTTAAGCTAGAGAATGAATATCTGACAAGTGAATGGAAACAAATTCGTAAAATATTAGAACAATTGCAAACAGATTATGAAACAAGTCGCCCGTTGGATCCATTAAGACGGTATAAAAGTCTACAAGGGATGATAAAACGTATTGTTATGCATATACGTATTAATGAACCTGGATCAGTTAGTAAAATGTCCGGTTATTCAAGTAGTAGTTCAAATAGTGAGCTACCACTACAAGGTGATGTATTGCAGAGTGAAGCGAAAACGAAAGAAATGGAAAAGCGTATTGGACAAATCTGTGAAAGTAAGTTCACTAGCAATATTGTGTGTAATTAATTTTCTTATTATAGTTATTATACCATATTAGGTATTCAGCTTACAGTCATTACCGCCCCCCCCCCCGAGTATACTGTACAGTTACATATCTGACCTAAACATTCGCTGGTCAGAATCGAAAGCATGCCTTGAGTGAGAGTTTAATTGGTCAGATTAAAGATTTCCACTAATTTAATTGGTGAATTACTCAGTCTGAGGGGTCTAAGGTTCTATCCGTGTGAGAGTTTGTAGCTGCGAATCGCCAAAGAGTCCTGAACTGTTGTTTGATGCTCTTTGGTTTTGAAAGTTTTCTCTAAATTATTTCAGTTCATGACGAAATTCAAATTTTCACAAGTCCTATTATCTAGTTACCAATCTCTAGTTCATCAACAACTACCAGATGGATGTTCTGAGGCAGTAATGAGACGCTGTTACCAGTCGGGTCGATAATGTCAAGGTAATGTGGGTACTAATCAAAGGCGTCGGTGGCACAGTGGTTAGGACTCTCGCCGACCATGCACATGGTCCGGGGTTTGATCCCCTGCCGGCGCACACCCGATATCTATGGTCGGCCTGCAAAATTTGGGCTACCGATATCCATGCTGAAAATTCCATACTTGTACTGAAAATACGGTGTGGAATCAAGCTGTAAATCAAAATAAAAAAAAATCAAAATCAAATCAACTAGTTAGCGAGCAGTACAGCCGACAAATGACCAGTGTACCGGTGAAAGATAAACTGCTGCTGCTATGTGCCACTTCAGCGAGTGTTTGTTAATTCATCTGCTCTTATGGACCTCTGGCTATATGGGTGGTACAAAGCGCACATTCTCCAAATACATCTCTGAACATTATTCAGCATGGTCAGTAAAAGGACAAGGTAAGAAAGACAGTTACTAGCTCAATTCTCGAGTGGTTTTCCCCTCTACACTCACCATTCTACCAACCCACACCTACCTATCTACCTACACCACATTGATTCAAATGCCTGTGACAAATATTTCATTATGTAAATGTAAAGCCTGATGAGAATTTACCGAAAATACGTAATTTCTTGCTTAAATCGTATTCTATAATTATTATTATTAAGGGAATATTTAAATTAATTAATGATACAGCGCTCTCAGTTATGAAGAAAATAAAAGGCGATTCAGAGAAGGAAATTTTCTTTATCGATGAAATCGTCATCACTAGCTGCCGTACAATCCCACTTTTATATTTACCGAAAATGTTTAGTAGTTCATTACTGAGTAATAGGGGGGGGAGTGTGTGTGTGACATAATTGATATATTTCATGCATTTATTCCCCTTGATGAATTTGAATAAAGCAAAAACAACAACAGTGATTTGTGCAGAATAAGAAGATGGTACCATCATTGTTTTTATTTCGTTGGCTTCTCATCAACTGCTGCTTACAGCCTAAATAAATTATAACGTTTATGCACAGAAACATTTTATTATTTATTATTATTGTTTCCTTTAATTCCTAGAGGAAAATAGGGCTTCAGCCATGCGTCTCCATTGCGTTCGGTTCCCTGCCAGAATCTTCATCTGGCTCCAAGTCTGCTCACACGTTTTCATCTCCTCTTCACATCACCTCCTCCAAGTTACCGTTGTAATGACGACCAACTCGCCGCTTCCCTTTCGAGTTCCACTCGGGCAATGGCTTGGCTAGTGATGTCACTTGATGGTTTCTTCAGAGTATGGCCAGCCAATCCATCTCCGTTTCTTCCTGCCTATTTGTTTCCCAATCGGTCCGTGAATGGTTTCCTTCCAGAGATCTCTGTTGCTGATCTTTTCTGGCCAGCCATCTGATCTTGAGTATTGAGCGAAGACAACTGTTAATGGTCTGTGGTTTGTTTGAGATGCTCTTTATGATGCGCCAAGTCTCTGATCCTTATAGTAAGTAGCACTGACTTCACATTGGAGTTGAAAATCCGACAGAAACATTTTAACATACTTGCAAATGTTTTCATGATGTCACTTGACAGAAAGTTCCGCAATTAGTGAACAGTGCTCAAAAACTTGCGCTTATATAGTTTTTACACAGGCAGTTCAAGCTTAAATAAAATATATGTATGCATACAATGTTAAAGGAGTTACGTAATAGAAACGGGAGATGCGTAAGACGCAGAGTGACTAATAAATTAGATAACAATGTACTGAGTTCAACTCAAATCATAGAAACAAGAACAAGCAAAATTATAAGTTATAAAGGAGGAGTGAGCTTAAAGCTAAAGATTACGTAATCAAATGAGAGAATAAAGACATCCAGTTGCCAGGCAAGGCAAGGAAAGACTGATGATAACTGCTCCTTTCTAAATACATAAATCTGGTTTCAAGCGTTTGATAGAAATTGCTTCAGCACACTTGAGGAGAATCGAGTTCTTTTGTCTATTAATAATTTTAAAGGAATTTACAATTTCCACCTCATGACCCGTATTTAGAAGATGTCTGGTAATAGTGCTATTATAAGAGTTTGTTCCCTTGAGACGTAGACTTTTCGGCATATATTCATAATTGATATAATTACTCAGAACTGGCTTGAAAAATAAAAATAAAAGTTGTATATTACGTAATAATTAACGGCACAAAGGAAGGAAGCGTTAGAAATTTTACAGGGTTAAAATCATTATTGAATGAGAAGAAAGGCGGTGTAACAACAGAAGACAAGGGCCAGGCGACAGAACGTTTATTACGGAAAATCAACACATATTTATAGATTTTGATGTACATTATTGTAGGTTAATGTTAGTAGAAAATACAATCTGTTGATTAGTTGTTTCTCCCACAAAGTTAACCTTGTATCTCTTGTGGCTGTGTCAGTTCATCTATATGTTAACTGTATCCGCCTGTCCATCTTGACCTTTGACCTCAATTACTGTCAACCAATTTGGCTAGCAACCATTTCTCACCACAGCGGTAGTTGAGTGCCCATTTTAACGAGTGTCAAGAGGATGGAAAAATGTACAAAATGAATGTGTGAGAATGATAATAGTGATATAATTATTAAAGTAAAAATGAAGAGGTCAAGACCATGGTAGACTAAGAGACTGCGAAAATGTTTTCTGTATACAGACTTTGGTGTTGTATTGTCAAATTGACAACGCCTCCGCCATACACGAATAATGCCAATAATGCCTACCGCCCTTTGTACCACTTGGCCTCCCCTTGTGAATAATCTTGGAAGAAGACTGTGGTGGAGTTGAGTGGCTTGAGTTGACTAAACGCTCGATAATTGAGCTAGTAACTTTCTTGCATTGTCCCTTTGCTAACGGTGATTATAATGATAAAAAAATAATGATAATAAGGTTTATGCACGTGGTGATAAGAATATTGAAGGCAGTAATATTATGTACGCGTATATGCAGACAATCCAATAAATAAATTAGGTCAAATCTTAAAAGTTACTTTAAACAATCATCATAAAAGTAAGAAGAAAATGGAAAATAATAAAGGATTAGAGGTTTTCGAATAAGAATATATCTAGGCCAAGCAAGGAAGTAACAAAAGGGTAGAATAAGCTTCTTTTGTTGTATGCAAAGACATTAGGATTGTTCTTTCGAATTAATCTCTATAGCTTCGGTTATGTGTTTGACAGACAGGTTCGAATTCCATTCGAAAGATCCAATGGAATGCGACAGATAACTCTGAAGGCACTTCTTCTGTCCAATCGGTAACCTCTATCATCAACCAAAGAGACAAAACATAACTTCTTATAGATTTTATTTACTCTTTCCTGAATCATGAAGGAAGATGCTCATTAATACGTTTCTTGAGCTGTCAAGTTGTTCATCCTACACAGCTTTCTTCTCAGGGGCACCTAAATTTGTAGACACACAGAGAAGTGACACATCTAGTTAGGCAACTTGTCTTTTGCTCAAGCAATCATAATTAGTCGGCAGCTGGAAAATGACAAACAAAGGGTGGTGACAGTATAAGCCCATTTTTATTGCTCTCAATAATCTTAGACTTCACTAGCCACGTCCCCATTAAATTGCAATTTCATGAACAGTTGTTTCTTTTTAACTGTTGTTGGTCTCTCTTTATTGTACCTGGTGTTCATGTGTCTCCTAACAAATCTACTGGCATAACTCTTCTAGATGGGTATATTCTGGATGTAATCTAATTCATTTTCTAGGGAGTCATCTGTACAGATCCGTCTTGCTGTAATCGTGAGACATCAAACCAAATCGATTTTGTGTCGGATTGGTACAAAACTGAAGAAATGTGTATATTGTCCTACAGATGGAGCTTTTAACACTTAACACTTACTATTATTTGATCCACAAACTCACCGTCACTGGTTAAATTTTCTAATATATAAATCTATGTAAATTAGATTAAAGCCTGAAGAAGATCTACTTGCAAACTAAAATATTGTTCGCTTGCATGTCTTGTTTAATAAGATTCGTATAACTTTACTCAAAAAGCTGGGGTTAATATAAATAATTTTACAATTATTCAATCTGACATGTAGCTCCAATTATTTTCAAAAGGGGATTACAAACACCTACGGTCTGTGTATTTACAATCCCTCCTTCCAGTTTAGAAATATTTCTCAAGAAATACATATATTTTCCTTTCCTTTACGTTCTTTGTAAAACATAGACCTTCAAACTTGAGGCTTTAGATTTAAAGATGAAACATTTCTTCTTTTGTAAATGTTAAATGCTCCTTTTTTTGTTCGTCTGAACTCATAAATTATCAAGGTCTCATTGCCATAGCATTTATCTGGAAAGTTTGTATGTTATTCGGCAGCCGTTTCCCTTGCTTTTATATAAGGACAAAACGTGGACACTGTGGCGGTAGAGTATAATTCCATTTTGGATAAAATTTATTTTGATAATGTCTCACACAGCGTGTTATGCAGTAATATTTACTGATGACCACGTCTCGAGCACCCCAATTTATTACTGCAGCTCATTATCATATCAAGACACTACTCACACAACTTTTTTGCTTCATTTACTTACATGAGTAAAATTTG